CCCCGGGACCGTCCTTGAGGGTTTTGAATACCGTCATTTCAAAACGTCGCCTCTGCCTTGCCTACAGCCAAAATAGCTTCCTTGACTAATAGGCCCCCAATTCAAAACCGTGCCCCCCTGGCCTCCTTGAGGGTTCTGTAATAGGCCCCCAATTCAAAACCGTCGCCCCCCTGGCCTCCTTGAGGGTTCTGTAATAGGCCCCCAATTCAAAACCGTCGCCCCCTGGCCTCCCTGTAATAGGTTCAAAACCAATAGGCCCCCAATTCAAAACCGTCGCCCCCGGCCTTTTGAGGGTTCTGTAATAGGCCCCCAATTCAAAACCGCCGCCCCCCTGGCCTCCTTGAGGGTTCTGTAATAGGCCCCCAATTCAAAACCGTCGCCCCCCTGGCCTCCTTGAGGGTCCTGTAATAGGCCCCCAATTCAAAACCGTCGCCCCCCTGGCCTCCTTGAGGGTTCTGTAATAACCCCCAATTCAAAACCGTCGCCCCCCCGGTTCTGTAATAGGCCCCCAATTCAAAACCGTCGCCCCCCTGGCCTCCTTGAGGGTTCTGTAATAAGCCCCCAATTCAAAACCGTCGCCCCCCTGGCTTCATTGAGGGTTCTGTAATAGGCCCCCAATTCAAAACCGGCCCCCCTGGCCTCCTTGAGGGTTCTGTAATAACCCCCCAATTCAAAACTGTCGCCCCCCTGGTTCTGTAATAAGCCCCCAATTAAAAACGGTCGCCCCCCTGGCCTCCTTGAGGGTTCTGTAATAAGCCCCCAATTCAAAACCGTCGCCCCCCTGGCCTCCTTGAGGGTTCTGTAATAGGCCCCCAATTCAAAACCGTCGCCCCCCTGGCCTCCTTGAGGGTTCTGTAATAAGCCCCCAATTCAAAACCGTCGCCCCCCTGGCCTCCTTGAGGGTTCTGTAATAGGCCCCCAATTCAAAACCGTCGCCCCCCTGGCCTCCTTGAGGGTTCTGTAATAGGCCCCCAATTCAAAACCGTCGCCCCCCCGGCCCTCCTTGAGGGTTCTGTAATAGGCCCCCAATTTAAAACCGTCGTCTCCGGGGCTTCCTGGTTTTCGGGTTTTTAGAAGGTTTTCAGAGGTTTGTAAGGGGTTTTCAAATGTTTTTCCAAGGGCTTTTAGAGGGGGTTTTAAAGGGTTTTTAAAGTGTTTTTAAAGGGATTTTGTAGGGTTTTAGAAGGGTTTTGGAAAGGTTTTTGAAGTGCTTTTTAAAGGGATTTTAGAAGGGTTTTGGAAGGGTTTTTAAAGTGCTTTTTATAGGGATTTTCGAGGGATTTAGAAGGGTTTTGGAAGGGACTTCAAAGTGCTTTTTATAGGGATTTTCAAGGGTTTTAGAGGGGTTTTAGTAAGGGTTTTGGAGGGTTTTGTAAGGCTTTTGTAAGGTTTTTTTCAAAGGTTTGTAGAAGGCTATATAAGGGTTTTAGAATTTTTAAAGGGTTTTACAGGTTGTTAAAGGGTTTTTTGAAAGGATTTTAACGGTTTTCTAAAGGGGTATTTGAAAGGTTTTAGAAGGTTTGCAACGAGTTTCTGGAGTGGTTTGAAGACTCCAATTCAGACCCCTTATTCGGGTTTCTTTTGCGGGTTTGCCTCCAATCCAACTCGGGAAGCTCTTGAAACAACAGCCCGAGCCAAGTCCCAGGCATGCATTGACGGTTTTCCGTGGCAATTCCAGAAGCCTACGCACAGGTCTATCGATCGCCCCAAGCCAAAAAATACTTCAAAGTGCAAACAAGAAATCGTTTGCTTCAGCAACCCGGAACGTTCTTTGAAGAGTTTTCTAATCGACCCTAAGCCGAAGGCCTCGACCCCCGTTAGCCGTCTCGCCTTAAAACTCCTTTCCCATACTGGCCACGAACTCTGACATGTTTCAGGATCGCTCCGGTTTGATGTGGGAAGTTTGGGGGGCGTGGCTAGAAGCGGGATGGGGTGGGGCGGGGTGGGGAGTGGATGGATATTTTGGGATGTGGAGGTGGGAGACTCTCAAACATCTTAATTAGATTGCTTGGCTGATCTGACATCTGTCTGGGTTTGTGTGTGTGAGTGTCGAATAATGGTAACAGGTCGCACATGATAATAACACTAAGTGGTAACCGATTGGTCAGTGGAATATGAATAGTAGGCATCGTACCAATGATACCAGTGATATCAGTAGCACTTCAATCATGATGGTCGTCAGAACTTAAAGTACCTAAACATGGAATCCATAAAATTTAAAGTAAGAATCATTGCTTGGCTTTGAGGTGGCTTGTCAACGCCGTGGAGTTGCCTTGCGTGTTCTTGAAGCTCGCCTCCCCGCACGAGTACAGCTTCCGACGTCTTCAACTCAACTACCAACAAACCGAGAAGCAACGGCGGAATATGTTGCAACAAACTATGATTTTCCACAGTCGCGCCGCCACTGTGGCCAAGGAGCTTGGAGTAAAAAAGGGGTGTGCTCTACAGCAGCAGCAGCAGCAATCACAGCAAGAACAACAGCAAACATCGGGTCATTGTCATGTGCTTCACCAAGTCATGAAATTTCTCAGGAGCAGAAGCTGGAGTACAGGGACGCTTTCATGAAGGCGGTCTCTGAGTTCAACTCCTACGGGATCAACGCGACCAACGCCAAGTACAGGATCGACAGTGCAACTGCAGGTTCGATGTATGGCTTCAAGGCAACTTAGTCTTCAGAATAATTCAAGCTTACCTGCGATCCAATGTAACAAATCCGATATTGCCTGCCTTCAAGTTTCTGAACCCCAGGTCGGGGTGTGTGAGCCGGCCTGGCAGATGATCGAGGCTCATTTGCACCAGCGGAAGCTGGACGATTCAGGCCAGAGAAACCCACTTGTTATTGCTATCACTTAGTATATAATAATTTAATGATATTGTACTAAGATTGTACCTTACGTACCCATGCCCAAACGAAGTCATTAGTACGTGTTGATACTTAGCCTGCCAAATTGGATTTGTATCAACGACTGCCTTCCATTACTACTTTGTGGTCGCCTGGAATGCTTGACAAAAAATAGGTCAAGGGACTTGGGCTTGGGGTGCTGTGTAGGGTATAAAGTTTGGGTTTAGGGTGCCGGATATAGACCCGTACTCCCTGCAGCCTTCAGCCGTGACACTCTCCTGTCCCATCGATGGTACCTCGAGTCCTCCACGGGCGGAAATCATCATTGGCATCGCATTTTGAAGATGACGGACGAGAAACAAATGCTGTTTCTAGAGAGGGTTCTGCATCTTCACAAGCTGGCATTGAGGAAAAGATCCGGCAAATCGCAGAGCTGCAGGCTATCGAGCGAAGCATGGGACAAAGAGTGCGACATCATGTGTGCTCTGCAGTACATCCTTGCGGACATGGCGGCGGCCCCTGCTGCAGCTTCCGGTGACGCCCTCTTCCCAGCGAAGGTCCTGGCCGAGATCAGAGTCAAGATGATTGAGGGGTGTCTGCTGCATGTTTTTTGGGTTCTATCCATACCCATTAGGTTCCTAGGTTCTACATCTGAATCTGTCTGCCAGGGACTTCCATGATGACATGGAGGCTCACATCGATGCTGGCTTGAACCAGTTCCAAAGCTCCCACATGCAGTTGTGGGCCGAGCACTTGCCAACAAACCTTGTCGAAGCCCATGCCAGCGCAGACACAGTACTGCAGAATATGAATCAGGAGCAGCAGCGACTGTCCTGGGAGCAGGACACACTCAAGCTCGCGTCCGACATCTCCACGATTGGCAAGCTGGTGCAGGCAGAGATCAGCAACCAGAGGACAACTCACCTTGCCAAGGTTCAGCATCTGAAGATGCAGAGGCTTTGTTTTGAATTCATGTCGGACTGACCATCATCAAACCTCATGCTGTCACTGTGAAGTCTACAGACTCAGATTTTAGAGTAACCGTTTCTCATGCAAGGAACAGAATGGGAGCGACCGTGGTGAGCTCTTTCATGGAGAGATGGTCTCGCCATGTCTCCGGTCCCGAAGCGGACCTGGAGGCAGCATGCTTGGAGGCTACTTGCGGCACTTACCACAGCATGTCAATGTCCAGTTTCAGTAGCTTAAACTTTTCAATGAAAGCTGCATCCCGTCAGTTTATGAGCAAAGACGACAGCCCTGTCATCATCTTCTGTGACATGACGAAGCTTGGCCGCCTCACCAACAAGGACCTCAACTTCCACACGGCGCTGATGCGGAAGATGATTCAGAAGAGGCCTCAGAGCACGGTCGGCGTGGTGGTCGCGCCATTTCTCATGAGCGAAAAAAGCAAGAAGGGCGGCCTTCGCGGAGAATTGAGGCTGCGTCCGGTGGGTGTTCGGTCATTACTGCATTCTCAACGCCCAAAGCCGTCACCATCATCATCGTCATCATTGTTCGGCTGCTGAGACTGATTGTCGTATGACCATTGAAACCCAAGACCTTCCCACTGTGTCTGTCAGGACCCTAAAGCCAATAATCGCTACACCCGAACTGTCCTGAAAGGCGAGTGGAAGACAAGCTCGAGGCCAGGTCGCTCGAAGCCGAGATGATCGTGTGGCGGATGGCTCCGCCTCCAGCACAGAAGACAGTGCCGGTGCATCTCACGGGTTGGCTTTGCTTTGATGCCGGCACAGCAAGTGACAACATCTTCCAAGGGTGCAAGCTCATGCAAGACAGGACGGGTAGCGTTCAACTCGGCGAGTGGTACTGGTTCAACTAGCAACTTAACTTTGCATCATATCGCAGTGTCTGAAAGGTTATAAACCTTGACGTTTCCGGTTTGCCACTAGATTCACTACATAGTGTTTAATTTGGATGGCAGGGGCAACAGGGAGCCATTGGCATGGGAACCTGAGAAAAACTACGTCGTGCCAGTGGTGCTGAAAGACGCCCTGCCCTCTACCGCCGAGGGCTCCCGGTCGGGCACTTATCACTGTGACAGTGTGATACTGCCACATCTCTGAAGCTGAAGCCTTGAAATCGTGACTGTTGAGTGCTCTTGCCCAGGGCTCTGTCGGATGTGCAGGAAAGTGCGCAGATGTTGGCAGGAACGAGTTTTCCATCTGTAGCCCTGGAGAGCACTTTGCGGACCATGACCGGCAAAGTCACCGCCAGCAAGAAAGTCCGGGTCATCAACCAGACTCCATACGAAGGGCATATGGAGCGGACATGTCTGAAATTCCACAAGAATCCCGACATGCCCCGAATCGCGACCTTGTCCGTGACTACGGATGCAGCCGTGAACCAGTTCACGGAGCAGGCTGTTGCGATTGAACTCATGGAGGACGACAGTGCATGCGGGGTAATGATGGCTTCTGGTATTATTGCTTCTAGCTACTAGCGTAAAGGCCCAATCAGTGGCAGGAGTGGAAAAAGGAATCCGCTCTGCTGGCTGAAGAGCCGAACTACAAGAAGTACGAGAAAGACCCTGTCAGCTTGCCGTCTGAAGTGAGATTCGAGGATTTCCAGTTCAAGATTGTCACAGCAGAGAAGGATTCCAATGCCAAGGGCGTGCAGAAGTACAAGTTCGGCCTGAAGCCCGAGATCCGGAAGCTCTACATGCAGGACCCTCTGCATTCGCAAGAATGGGCTGAACTGATTACCAGCTTTGATGCAATGTGTCTTGCCTTATGTATTCCAAGCTTTCCAAATCTGCGTTCTAGGACTTGCCCTGACTTCCCCAACACCGGCAATGCCCAAGCCTCTTGATCCCAGGTACGGCTGCAGCGGCAGTCCTGCCGCAGTGTCAGCGACAACGGCTTCTTCGGAAACCGCGGCTACAAAGCCGGGCTACCCCAACGAGCCCAAGACGGTGGATGCATTGAACAAGGAATATGACACCGAGTTCAAGTTGCCGGGTCGCCATGCTGGGACCACTCTGTTCATCACCAAGGCGTGCAACAAGCAGGGAGAGGAAAAGGACACTGCTAGGGGACAGACCTTCAAGCTCTTCCTTGTCACTCGTCGTGAACAGACTGTCTCACTGTCACGCTGGGCATGCCGCCGACTTACTTCGCACCACTGAGGTTGCACACAATGATGTGACAGTGCCGTCCAACGAGTTTATCATCGCTCACGGGCGGTCCGTGTTCATCAAGCATGAGAAGGCCTTGCAGGCTCAGCGCGAAGGCAGTGCAGGCCCCTGGCTGGGGCGATCGGATATGGATTGAGCATGATTGAGCAAACACTGCACCGCTTGACTCTGCAGAGCTTGGGCTTACGAAGGCAGGTTCGATTAGCAAGGCTCCTAGGCCGTCCCAACCATGTCCGATGCAATGATGAGGCTGTTGAGCAAGCATGGCTTTTCCCAGGAGATTTCAGTCTGTGTTTGGTGATTATTTCTGTATGCTGTCATGGACATTGCTCGATCACCCAAAGCATTCATGTCTGTGAGGACATGGCTACACTGAGTCCAGGCCCAAGCCCTAGTGGTGTGACCAACACACCTGCCTCTGCAGCAGCAACGCCACCCCCGACCCCAAAAGTCCAAAGCACGGGCCAGCCTCCTCGTGGCTCTCGGGATGAGCCGCTTCCGCTGACCTCGGACACAGCAGCTGCTGACATGTTACCGGATGTTCGAAAGGACCTGCAAAAGCAGCTGGACGCAGCTCTGGATAGCAAGAAGAAAAAACCGAAAGCCAAGGCTGCTCCAAAGTCAAACTCGGGTGAAACGGAGGCTTCTGCGGCAAAGGGTGAGCCCAAGAAAAAGCCTGCATCCAAGCAGCAGTTCCCATCTATCAGCTCAATCGCTAGAAGCATAGCAGAGAAGAAAGGCATCAAAGCCAAGACCCCAGCCGCCAAGAAGAGCAAAGGCACCAAGGGCCCCGAAGAGGCCTGATGGCAGCGGTTCGTTGTGAGCGTTGGGGTCAGCTGGGGTTCAAGGCTTCGGGATAAGCCCAAAGCTCAAACACCGAAAAATTACGCCGTAGATGTTTTCGATTCAGTTTTGAGCTGCTTCGTGTCTCCACTCTTGCCAATATTCCAGATCTAGCTTCCGAGCTTGTAGAGAACAATTGCTGTTGCATGTTGTTTTTGCAGCCCTCTACCAGGAAGAGGCAGAGGAGGCAGAGGAGGCAGAGGAGGCAGAGGAGGCAGAGGAGGCAGAGGAGGCAGAGGATGAGTGGGATGAGTGGGATGCCTTGGGTGAGTTTAATTTTGATGACAATGAGAAGCCTCCGGAGTCGGACAACGGGGCGGGAAAAAAGGAGCAGGATGAGCCCACAGCTGCTAAGGCAAAGGCAAAAGGGAAGGCCAAGGCAAAAGCTAAGGCCAAGAGTGCAAAAACGGATGAGCATGGAAAAGACACGGAGGCTAGTGGCAAGGGGAAGCCTCAGAAAAAGGCCAAGGCCAAGGCCAAAGCCTCGGCAAAGGGTGCAGACAATGATGACAAGGGTGAGGATGCAGCAGACGAGGATGCTGGCAAGCAGAACCTGACCAAAGCGATGTGGGCGTTCCTGAAGAAAAGGAAACACGAGCTTGTTGCCGAAAGCCCTGACATGGATATCAAGGAGGCGGATAAAAAGGCTCGCCAAGAGCAACTTGACTCAAGCAGCTGTTGGACTGTGAGGGTTCAGATTCAATTCAATTCAATCAAGAACTCATGCAAAGTTAAGTTCGACAACTCAAGATTCCGAGGTGGCAGAAGCACCCGACGCGTATCAGCCACATCCAGAATATGACCGAATCCCAGAGGAAGAAAGGCCGCTTCACATTGTGAGTCAATGATCCCATACGGGTTGCAATGACAACGGCTATCCTAGAGCAACAGGTGCTCTAGACGTTTTGGAAATCATCCCGCCTGGATTCGCCAGATCGCCTCGCGGGGGAAAAGACCTTGGTGCCAACATGCCGTGTGCACTCTGCACTTCAACACAGCTGCTTCTTGCTCATGGCTTGATTTAAATGACGCTACGCAGGTCATGACTGCATGATTCCATGCGAGTTCCAATCGGACCTTGAGCCAGTCGTACTGGAAGTATCTCAAGGAAGATCGTCGCAAGACAGCGAGCCGTGTTCTCTACGACAAATTCTCATTGACCTTGAAGAGGCTGGGATAGTGGATGTATCGGTAAATGGACACGAGTGCCAGAGACCTTCGCAGCTGGCTGACGGATTCTCGGATTGTTATGACTGTCAAAACCCGAAACCCAGAACCCCAGAACTCCAAACCCTGAAACCCGTAACCCCCGAACCTCAAAACATTGATCACGGTAACCCTAATCGTCTAAACCCACAGCCGAACCAACCCTGACAGTGGGAAACCCTGAACCGTGCTATTACTACACCCTTAGCCTTAAGCCCCAAGCACTTAAACCATTTGCTGTCGTACGGGCTTTTGCAATCGGCCATCTTTGCTCACTGCACCGGACCGCCTTAAGTTCCTAAAACCCTTTTCATAATGAACTGACCGCCCCAACCCTTGATCTCAAAGCAGTCAAGCCCCAAACCCTAAATCCAATAACCCATAAACCCTGATCAATCCTTAACCCCCCCCCACATCATGCAGGATCAATGTCGCAATAACCAGGCAATCCTTTGATTAAACCCCTGGCTACGAGCTAGGCCTTGAAAGCGCCGTGACAACCCAAGACCAGCGAAACAGTTCCCAGCTTTCCTGTAGCATCCCGAGCCGATATCAAGGAGAGGACAGGTTCGACATCACCGCGAAGCCCAACAAGACCTACTACTCCTGGACACATGTGGCCCGCACCGCTTTGCCATCCCAGAAGTACACCTCCGTGGCTTCCGGTTTCAACTCTGAGGCTCGATTGGCAGGGGTTGATGTGTTCAGGTTTGACTGCGAGGACTAAGCATTAAGCTCACAGTCTCTCGGGATTTTGCGAATCGAAGTTTCCAAGCTTATGCTCGTGTTGTCACGTTTGAGGGTTTAGGGCTTAGGGTTTATAGGGTCACATGCTCAAGAAACGGTTAAACCCCAAAGTCGCGCAGGTGCTCCGCGGATCCAAGATGCTGCACCTTTATTGGCGAGTTAGCATGGCTGCAGAACGCAATGCGTCTCAGATGAATTATTGTGCTACATGCTACTTGACGTGGCAGTGCCTCGTAGTTGCGTCGATCATGGCATTAAGGAGCTGTCCCCACGTGGCTTGGCAATAACAAATAACCGACCAAAGAATGTCCCGGGAAATAAAGCATTCGAATCCAAGGCAAGCCCTTATACTTCCTGGAGAAAAACCTTGCTATGAAAACGGACGAGTGCGTACGGCTGCTGTGAGCGGCGGCCCAACGGGGCCCGGACTTCGAGTTTTGACATGTCGAAGTTCACCTGACAGTGCGGAAGCACGGCATCTGTGTGCCAGGGCCAACAGCCTGGGTTGAAGCTACTTCCTAGACTGGGCAGTATGAATAATGTATAGTCATACCCCTGGCCTGGCACCACGATGCAAATCTTGGACTGCACCAATGCATCTCTGTGCCATGTTCAAGGAGGTTGAACATTTCAAAAAAGACTGGGATCATCGTTTAGCAGGCAAGTGCAATGTAGTCAAGAAAGGCACTGAGAAAGATGCGTCTTTTGAAGTCGCTTTGCGAGACTTTGCGAGAGGTCAAAACGTAGCTCAAGCCAAAGGGTTTAAGAACCAAGCTTAGACAACTTGGAGTTACGGGGCATGGCTTGAGGATTCGGAATTTGGGTTTACAGCGTAGGCCTAGGCTTATGTGCCTGTGCTAGTACGGATTAATGCATCACACTGAAATCATAATAAGCGTTCACCCTTCAAACCCTCGCTTATCGGACTTATCGGAAACACTTAGCCCCTTAGTCCTTAAGCCCTGAAGCCCTGGGGCACGTGTTGTCTCTATCCGTAACAGGCAAAACCCTGCGCCCGTCATGTGATGCTTAGTGCTTTATGGACCCTAAAACCTTAAAGCCAAAAATCCTGAACCCCGCGAACCCTCGCCGAATGTTTCGCCCAACATCCTTGAGCCCTCAATCCCTCACCTACGTATGTCACTAACCCTAAGCCTTCATTCCTTAACTGTTTGCTGCCCTCGCAGGTGAGTCAACAGCCTCCACGAACTCGAGGAACGTGTGATCGCTGAGGCCTGAGTGGAGGGACTTAGCAGTGACTAGGCTAGGGAGGAACATAAGCTTAGGGCACTAGGGCGAATCATTCCTTTTTGTGTCACTGTGCAAATGGAACTGCTCCACAGTCTGTTATTGCAGGCAAAGTTAGCGAGCATCAGAGCATCATGTACAAAAAATCGCTGCTCTAGCAGGTGTCACTTCAACGATCACATCTTCACCGAGTTCGTGGAGGCTGCTGGCTCTCTCTATGGGGCTTGGTCAGAGGCATAGATTTCCGACCAGACTTGCTGCACTTCGTGTTGACGAGCCATCCCACTAGCAAGCTGTTGGTCCGTCAGCTTCCCGTATCCCGCCCACACTTTGTCTGAGCTGATCCTTGCGAACTTCTTCCCAAGTTCTGAGGGAACCATGGAGGATTTCAAATCGTTGCAACACCGATGACGAGCTGAGTGGCTTCTAATGGATGCAATCTTGACATCTGTGTTGGGAGGTGGAACGAATGTCTCGCGGGCTTTCCGGATGGCTTTGGAGACAGTGTCCTCAAGGCACACGCGTGGGATGCGATCACCTAAAAACGATCTTTGGCAGTCAACCAGGACCAATCAACCCCCAAAATTTAGACCCCCAGCCTTGGTGCGACGATCTTTGGCTGAATCCTTTCGCTTGCTTGGGAACAGGTAAGCTTCATCCGTTGCTGGAAATTCCCACTCATCCTTGTAGGTCACGGCCCCCCGGCTGCCCCATCGACGAGTGCGGTGAACCGAGACACCTCCAGCCTCTTGCCACTCAGAGAGAAGCTTGAAAGCTGCATTCGACAACGGTTTCTTGAGGGCAGCCCCGCGCTTCAATGCCCCAACGTGTACCGTCCTGCCCTCGAGGTCAACATCCGATCGACGCAACATGCAAGCTTCTGTAACTCGCACGCAGAGCAGATGGGAAAGGCACGTAAGGGCGTACAACCATGTGGGCCCGACACTTTTCAAGTGGCTGACCCAAGCTTTCCAACTCGGCCCTGCCAAGGTATCGGCAGGCCCTCGGCCGGTCTTACGGCGAGCAGCAGGTTTCTTGGCAACCGCATGACCTTTAGCCATGCTTGCTACCAACCACGGGCAACAGACGATCGAGTCGAGCAAAAACTGTCATGAGGATGACTCGTGTTTTGTTTACCAGGCAGCATGAGCATCGTCTCTACTTCGTAGTTACAGTCAAGAGGCTGGTTTGATATTATTTTCGCGTGTCTTGTGCTGCTATACGTTATTCATTAATTCAAGTTCACCTAACAGTTGGCCTAACAGCTCTAATACCAAGTGGGAAGCTAACGGCCAATCGCAGACTTTCGCATGTTGACGACCCTTTCAGCACGGACTGAGGTGCCGGCCAGCGCCCACGAAACTCGTAGCCTAAACCCTAAACGGCCCTCAACCTAAACCCTACCTACTACCAAACGGCCGCTCAACCTAAACCCTACCTACTACCCAGTGCCAAGCTACTACCCCTAACGGTCGTTTAGAAAACTTCCCACTTGGTTGTTAAGTTAGTAGGAGTTAGGGGTAGTAGCTTGCAAAGGGAAGTAAGTAGTAGGAGTTAGTGGGAAGTTCTTTAAACGACCGAACGGGCAATCCTCGTTTCGGGTTGGGAAAGCTTCCAAACGGACTTAACAACCAAGTGGGTAACTTAACAACTTAGTGGGAAGTTCTCTAAACGACCGTTTGGAAGCCTCCCCAACCCGAAACGAGGACTGCCCGGGCCCCAAGGAGGACTCCCCAGACCCGAAGGAGGACTCCCCGACCCTGAAGGAGGTCTCCCCCCATGTTAGTGTAGCATAGCCCTTGTTATAAGACACGCAAATCCCCAACGAGGCTCACACTGCAAAAGGGCGCCGCTCGCATCCTGATCCTGATGCAGAGATGCCTGGATTGCTGATACCTGCTCGGTATCAATAGTAGCAGCAGTAGCCGTAGCAGCAGCAGCAGGAGGAGGAGTAGTAGTAGTAGTAACTACTGACAGCAGTAGTAGTAGCAGCAGCAGCATTAGTAGTAGCAACAGTAACAGTAGTAGTAGTAGTAGTAGTAGCAGCAGCAGCAGCAGTAGTAGTAGGAGATCCTTGTGAGTTTGCAACCCGTTTAGCAATAGAACCATCAGAACGCACAATGGCTACAATCTGGTGCTTTGCAATGTCTGGTCGAAACTCTGGTTTTGAAAGATCCCAACTGGCTTCGCTTTAGTGCTTTCTAGGACCGGAAAACAAACATTTCCCAGAGCTTTCCTATGCACCATGACCATGACAGTTCGGCCGAGCATGAAAACATGATGGTTTTGTTAGGAACCCTTAAAATCGCAACGGGTTGCGTCGTTGTGCTTGTCTGTGGAAAACATGCATTCTGTAGACTGAGTGTTCACTGTGTGAATGCACGAGTCCATGTCACAGTTCAACCCATACGAAGGTGGTGGCTCTGTTGAAATGGTTGTTTTCCTAGGAAAGCTTCAATTCGCAACTGATTGCGTTTTGCATCTTGTGCGGAAAACAGTCCAGCAGTCTGGGGAGGTTTCCTGTAAGAATACACGAGTCCATGCCAGCATTCAACCCATGCGAAGGTGGTGGCTCTGTCGAAATCATGGTTCTGCGTTGCGTTTTGGTGCTTGTGTGAAAAACGGTGACAGGCAGTCTGTGGAGTTTTGTTCTGGGTTCACTGGGGGCATGGATGCTCTGGTGGCATGGGGGACATGGATGCTCTGACCTTCGCGTATGTCTGGCTGGATGAAACTCATCGCACAGCACGTCTCTGGCCGAGCTTGGCGACCAATCTTGGCGTTGGTGTGCTTCGGCTTGAGCCCATTTTGGTTCGACGAGTGGGGCCTTCAAGCTTGAAAGTACCCCCGACAAGGCCAATTTCCAGGGCCCGAACGACAGGAAATTCGACCCGAACATGAGGAAATCTTCTTTTTCGTGCTTGAAGCAGTCGAGGGCCGCTTAGCCCGCGCCCTGCTCAGTGCCTTACTCCCTGACGTTGCACACGGTGTAGTTTGGCTCCACGACGGTGTGTATGTCCGTGTCGCTGATAGTGCCATCTGTGTACCGGTACTACAGCAGGCCGTCGCAGCCGAACTCCGTCAACTCCTAGACGAAGCGACGGGCAGCGTTACACGACACCTGCCCAACCCGGAGGAGCTCGTGCGCGTTGCTGATGCTGATCTCGCCAAGCCTCACCAGGATCTTGTTGCGCATCTCGCCCTTGACTCCCGCCCCTCCCGCCCCACTGCCTACGCGCCGGCGCGGCCCACAGTAAGTAGCCGTAGAGCCCGTCACCTTCCCGCTCCAGAGCACACTGCCCGACGAACGCACCTCAAGCGCACAGCTGCCAAGGAATTAGGCGTAGCCAAGCGCCAGTGCGTTGGGCTCCACGCCTTCTTTCGCCGCTCGGCTAGCCCGTGAGAGGGGGCATCTCCGGGTTGAACTTTTTTTTGGGTGCTTGTCTTTCCTGTCAGTGCGTGCATAGGAGGCGAGATATCCCCTCATTCGAATTGCTGGTCTAGTCTGTTGCTGCGGTGGGGAGGGGAGGTTTGGGCTATCCCCCTCTTTTTTTGAATTTATTTAATTGGTCGGGGTCAGTACTCGGCACTTTCTGGAGTTAGGCCACGGGATCTTGCTAATGCTGTCTTTGCTGTCTTGCCGGGTGCTTCAATCTGCCGGATTCTCTGTTGATGCTGCATTTTTGGGCTCGATCGGCTTAGCCTCGGTGAGTAATACTACTCCCCGCTCTTTGCTCCTTGTTGAACGGAGCGTAGCTGCGCCATGGCCCGGCGTGAACTTGCTCGAATCCGAGTTGGCAGCAACCCCTCGGAACTGTGCAATGCCTTGCTCCAGGGGTTGCCTAACTGGTTCTGGAACATGCCAGTTTTAGCGTATGCCTCGCCACCTATTGCCACTTCAGTGTCACTTCAGCAGATGAAGTCTTACGCGAGGTTGGCTTAGCATTCGGCACGGCCTCGGTGTTCCTGGAGCTCAGAGACTCTGCCGGGCAAGTTATGGAAGCGGTTTTCGGCCCCAGCATCGTTTTTGTCCACGCAGTTCTGCCCAACCTCTCGCCCTTGCGATGGGTCATTACAGTGGACCTCTATCTCGATCGAGGCGACGAACAGGCGGCACTGGAGGTACTGATGCATCCGGATATCCCTCCGCTTGAGGATGACATATGGGACGATACGCTTCGATGTATACTTGAGGAACACTTTGCGTTATTCGCCGCCCTTGTTCGTCGTGGTCGCCTCTCGGCGCATCGCTTCCTGCCGAATCGTGAGGATATTACGTATCGTGCGCCAATGGTGGCGCATGTCATTGATCTTCCATCAAGCTGTCTGGCGGCGTTGCTTGCCCTCCGGGCCAGTGCTAATACTCTCGACATGCGGGGGCATACGCCCCTAGCATTTTCAGTGCTGGCTAATGCTCATTCGTGCACTGCCCTTCTCCTGCAGGCGAGGGCGGTGCTAGATCCCCCAACTGGTTACAGCCCCCTGCTTTTAGCTGTCGCCCGGGGCCATCGTATTATGGTGAATGTCCTGCTCAATGCACAAGCGTGCCCTCACTCTGTGGCACGTCATGGCAGTTTGCGCGGGCTTTCGCCTTTTGATCTAGCTTGCCAATGGGTGGATGAAGAAGTCCTGCGGGCGTTCCGCCTCTATGGCTACGAAGTCCCTCGTGCTGCAGGCGTATACCCACCGCTACTAACGGTGCGTTTTGCCCTTAGCGGCCGCGTAATTGGACATAGCGAAGCCGGGGAGGACCATGCCAGCCTTATTCTGCATTGTCTGCAATGGCCTATGGCCGGTCTGGTAGCCCACGAGTCGGAAAACGAAGTCTCCATCATCTACAGGTTCAGCCGGCCTTCACAGGCCCTAGGCCTACGGCGTGCTCTGGCTAGTGGCAGTTTTGCCACGGCCATGCGCACCCTGGGACTACACCCTTGCTTGTTGGAACTGCCTGAACCTACGGTCTGGGGCGAATTTGGCCTCCCATCTACTATGCTCTCAGTCGTCAGCTCGGCGGAGCTCTGGCAACCCTGCTACTTGCGCGGGCCTCGCCCAATGTTCAGGCCTTGAGCTCCCGCGCTCGTCAGACTGTCCCATTGCAGTATGCCATCCGCCTTGGCTCCTCTGCAGCAGTTGTCCAGCTGCTTGAGGCGCAAGCCGACGTCCACTTCACAGGGGAGCCGGGGAGCACGGGCCATCCCCCTTGCGGACCGCTGCGGCGCTGCGTAGTGCCCCGCTTGTGGCTCTGCTTTTGGAGTACGGAGCCGGCTTGGGAATGCGGTTGAGTGATTTGCAGCCTTTAGTAGCTAGTTCGTTTTACCGCTCTGGTTATGGACGTGACACATGCCGCGTGGCCGCCCTTCTTTTGCGTTGTGTGGATACGGTCCCCAGCCACGAGGCGATACTTCTGGCTTCTGAGGTGGTTCCCCAGCTCCTCGTTGACGGTAATTGGTTTGCTCTTTTCTGCATCCAATGCTGGGTTCAACGACAATCGGGCTGCCTTTGCTAGGTCACAAGGCGAGGGTGCACATTCATGTGGTAATCTGGCCCAAAGTGGTCCGTGTTCTTAGAAACAATTTTGCTTTGCCTCTGTGGCGCGCTTTCACGCTCATACCCCATTTTAGCACGGGCCGCCCCTTCATTCTTGGAATGACTCTCTTCCTGCTGCAGCGGTTTGTCGGCTCAACATACTATAGGTAGCGGCCAGTGGCAGGGGGAGGGGTGGGGGGGCGGTGACGGGTCGAGGGCGAGTGAGGATCTTGCCGGCACCTCAGTCTCCTGCACCTACTGGAGCTTGGTTCAGTCGGCACCTCGTTGACTGCTCGATAGACTGCAAGCAGAGCCTATTTTCTGTCATCTCAGTTTTATGGCGCCCCGGCACGCAGCCAAACCTGGCGCACCGATTGGTGGACGAACTCGCTGCAAGCCGGGTAAACCCCGGGGGGGGGAGAAGGACCGGCTACGCACAGCAAAGCCCCGGGCGCAGTCGCTCCCGCAGGCCTCATTGCGTCTGGCGACCCTCACCCGTCCAGGCGGTCTCCCCAGCGGTGCGCAACAGCCGAAGATCTTTCGAGTGCAAATGCCTTGCTGACACCAGCGAGGCCCGCCGTACCCGTTCAGCTTACCCTGCGAGCGCCTGGTGGCTCCGGTTGGCAGGCCACGTCTTTTGCAGTCCGAAGCGCCAGGATGTTGGCCAGGCGGTCGACGCCCTCACGGCGGACCGGTGACCCCAGGATGACCGTCGGGGGATAGCTGTCGGGAATGAGCCCCTGAGGCAGCCCCCGTCGGACATGATCTTGGAGCTCCAAGGTTCGTGGTGTATCCGGCTGCAACCGGGAGCATCCTTGCACATTCAGACGGACACACTCACTCCTCCAGCTAGGGGGGTCCGTCCACGGGGGCTGGCCCTCCGATGCTTCTCCGGTGAGGGAGCCGGCCGCCTCTGTATTGGGGCCCAAGTGCGCTTGAAGCGCACCCACACTACCCTGGCCCGCGGCTGACATACGTCATCTGCCTATCCGTGATTCTGCTAATATGTCTTCCTCTGTGTTGCAAGGTCGCTGTGGCCGGCCGGCAGCGATGGCCTCTTGGCGCCAGGGGGTGTGCCACCAACCGGCCCCCCCTCGCGATTGAAGCTATCATCGGGGCTGCCCGGGCTACTCAGGTGAGATGCGTCGTTGTGTGTGTCCCGCCTCCTACGGTTGTGCCTTCAGGTGGTGGCCGCCGAGCCTGCTGCTGGTCGCTTGCCCCTTGGTGCCGCCTTTCAGTCGTTGATTAGCCTTGCTAGTTGCTTTGCGTCCGCTTTGGCACGGGTAGCGGCCCCCAGACTTGGATCCCAGAGGGTAGCTTGTGACATACGTCGCTCGCAATTCTTCGCTCCATGGCAACACCTCCAGCGTCATCGGCTGGGCGCACACGAAGGCAGGCCCTCGCTATCAATCTTGCGGAGCTCCCTTCTGAGCCGGAGTCAGAAGGAGAGCCAGCGGCTTATCCTGGTGCCGGCCCCTGGTGGCCGCCACACGGCCCCCCGGCGCCGGTTCCCGTCAATGAGCCGCCCGGGGAGCGCATCCATAGGGAGGCCACTGACATGTACCACCGCATGGTCTCCCAGGAAGTCTCCTGTGCAGTCGCGGATACCCTTGCAAGACGCGGCATTTTCATGAACCTAGCTGTCACCTGTGTCGAACCTGATGCAATTGCCCAGGGTCCATGGCCATCTATGTCCGCCCACTTGCACCTCGGGAAGGCGAGCACCCCTGGACGGTCTACGTCAGTCAGGACTTAGCAGACGAAGGCTCGGCGGCCGAGGAGGTCAGCGAGGATGCTGGGCATGGGGCAGCTTCCGAGGGCTCGACGCGCTCGGTCCGCATGCGAAGCGGTCGACGTCGGGCCCGACTTCCTGGACGGGGGCTCTCGGGGGCCAGTGACGTTGATGAGCCTTTGACGGCTGATGGTTCCTCGAACGCCACTAGGGCCACGGGCACAGGCTCTGACGTTCAGCCCGCTATTCCCGCACCCAAGCCGAAGACCAGACAGAAAAGGTCGCGACCGGCCTAATGCGACTGGCCCAGGTCACGAAGGCCACCTATCTAGCGTCACTGATCCCTTCTTCTGCGATGGCGGTGTGGCGTGCCAGTGCTCGTTTTGATGCACCGCTCGCCTCCGGGGTACAAACAAGTGACCATATTCGGTAGGAGCGGCGGATCTATGGTGACTCTTGCCTGCTCCTGCATACTTAGGCCATCGCCTGTGCTTCGAATAGTGGGGCTGTTGCCTCAGAGGGCGACCCTGGCATGCTTTTACAGTCGTTGTTGTCCGGTGTGTTTGCTGCCTGCAGCCGCGTACCTCGAACCGATCTTGCGTGGCTTAGGGGGCGGCGACATACGTCGCCAGCCAGGTGCAATGGCCCGCACCAATGGGCTCGTGAGCGGCGGTTTCGGGGAGCGGGACCTCAGCCTGACTCCTGTGAGAGCCGCTCGCCCCGGAGGGGCAGTCGAAAAGCACCTCGGGACCGTATCCCGTTTGTATGCTGTACTCCTGGGTGTCATCGTTCGTTTCACAAGGGCCGACACCGGCATTGCTGCTCCTTATGCAACATAGGCCAACACACGGATAGGTGCGAGAGGCACTACACGCGCCTGATGAGACGGACTCAGCGATTGGCATTGTCTACATGCTCCTTCCCGAGCTGCCCCAGAGTCGCTGGCTTCGGGCACACTCGATGCTGTGCTCTCTGCGAAAACACAAATGGGGAGGCGCATACTCCACAGTGCGATCAGCGCCAGCACTGCCTGGCCGGCCTGCACGCAAACCGCCCAACGCCCTTGCCCGGCGAAGAGGGGAGCGGTTGGGAGCGGAACCGCTCCTTGCACGGTGCAGGGCCGGGGCCCTGCGGTGGTTCGGGAGCCGCCCTATGTAGCTCGCGAGGCCTCGATCACGAGCATGTATGTAGCCGAGGCTGTCACACCGGCTCCGGTGTGCCATGTGCGCCTTGGAGGGGACACCTCACCAGCGGTTTCTTTGAGAGAGGCGGGTGGAGGTGCTGCCCCCGCCCGTGGACCGTCGACGCAAACCTTCTACCCGGCGGGGCCCGCCTCGGCCCGGGCGCGGCCAGCCACGGCCTACGTCAGTTCGATTGACCTTGATGTCATGGATTGAGGCCCCGTGCCTCGCGGCTCCGCCGGCACAGAAACAATGCGGCGCGATTCTCGCACGCTGTGTATACTAGTCTCCTCGCTGAGCACCTTCGGAGTACGCCGAGGTCCCTTTATGCGGCGCTCGTCGCACGGGCCTCAGGTTTGCCCTTCCGTTGCGGTTGGGAGTGATGACGGTGATTGGCCGCGGCCTTGGTTGCTCATCAGTCGAGGCTGCCTTTTGCCCCCAACCTGGAGGTCGAAGGCTGCTGGATGCTGACCGAGCGAGACGGACGGCCGCCAAAAAAGAGGTGAGCGCCCGCTTGTGCATCGACACTTTACTCCTTGGGCTATGCGAGAGATGTGCGTCGTGTTGGCTGCCAGCACGTCGACATACGTCGATGTCTATTTTGTGACCCTTGGTCGTCCCTCCCCTGCTTGCCCCCATGGCGAGTGCGTGGACTGAAATGCCGGCCAACGTCAATATCCCAGGCTATGACATGTTCCAGATTACCTCATCTAATGACATCGACCCGCTCTTTGTCACTTTCGCGCTGACCCTCGCATCCCAGCGAGGTGCGAACTGCGTGGTCTTCGAGGGACGCATTCGACGGGCATGGGTGAAATTTCTTCCAGATGATCCCAGGCATGCGGACGCCGTATCCCGCACGAGACAGGACGAAGCCATGCGGCATGGCTACCAAGCCTTCATCCGCGAGGGCGCCGAGTGACTGACGGCAGGCCATCGGCCTAATCGGGGTTTTTTGAATAGGGCTCGGTGGTTCGCCACCGTGACCCAGAGTTCTGGCTGTTTTCTCTCGAGCAAAAAGCCCGCCTCTTGCTCGGTTTGCTGCTCGCATTGCTCTCACCCCGTGTGCTTGTATGCCACTGGGGCTCAGACCTGCGGCGACATACATCGCTAGCACCTCGCTGTGTGTCTTGCGGCCGCTCCCCTTCCGCTCTATTACCGAGATGGCGGCCCCTGCCTTGCCCTTGGTGTGGAAGCGCCTGGACCAGCACATCAACGTCCGCTATGGCGACCTCTGTCACTTCGACTTGTCGGCGGACCCAGAGTTTCAGCTCACCCCGAGCGACACCGACATAATCCTCATGGCGGCGGTGGGCATGCGGGCCAATCTGGTCGTGATCGAGCTGCACCATAACTGGCAGGAGGCGGGACACGAGACCGTGAGGGTGTGGTTTAAGCAGGTTTGCCAGCGTGGTGGAGCAAATTGCACATCACCGTGACTGGGACGCCAGTGGCCGGCAGGGCTACCAAACCTTCTACTTGGGGTGACATGTCTTTCATGATGGTCTGTGGTGCTGGTCTGGACAAACCGGGCTCAGTGTTCAGACTTCCCCCCTGGGGTTTTTTTAACAGTCATGTGAACGCATTGTGAATCATGACTCTACAGGTCACCCGCATTGAGTAAGGACTGCAGGACTCAAAAGAACATGTTTTGGGGGATGTTCGCGAGTGCTTGTCCTGGCTGCAACGGTGCACAGCCGCTTTGGCCTGCTCGTGGCTCAGGCGGTGACATACGTTGCCGGCCAGGTGATGGGCTGAAATGATCTCCGGTGGTAGTTTGCGCCATGGCGGTCAAATTGTTCCACACGCGCCCCGTGGTCAGCGGCGTGGGCACAGAAATTCATCGACCCATCTCTCTAGCTTTGGCTTCCATTCAGCGTGCGCTCTCGGGGATGGAGCACCTTCACCTTCAAATGTATGAGGGATACCTGTTGGTGCAGGTGCTTCCAGGCTTCGCGGACGCGCCCGACTTCACTGAACACCCTGCGTCTTGGCGCTTCATGCAGCAAGGGGACCCACTGCAAACAGACGACTCTCCTTTTTCCATTGCGGGCTACCTTGTGCTGATTGCGGAGGCCTTCGACTTTATGGCAGTATGTGGCAGTTTACCGGTGCTTGTTTGTTCGCATGATCGCAGGGTAGGGCGCAGCTTTGTCGGCCTTCTGGTCAGCCGATTGAGTGTTCGGACAGGAGGGACGCGACGTGCCCCGATTGAGGAGGGTAGCGATGCCATAAGCTCGATCTTTGGCTTCCAGGAGCTGCCGATCAGCGAGGCCCTGCTCCCCTTCGCCCAAATCCCAGCAGTCCCTCGCGATTACGAACCAGCCGTGCCGGTTAACCTGGGTTTGCTCGCCCGATATGCTGTGTGGCTGTGTACTGACCCCGCTGTCGTGCATTGCCACACCTTGTGGCTCTTCACGGACACCGACTCACTGGAGGAGTATGACCACACACGCCACACTCTGCCTCATATTCTTAACCGTTGCTGCTGGACGGGTCGACATGATGAACGGCACGCCTGTGTCTTCTTCCCGCTACGGCAAGAAACCGGCTTGCATAGGGCGGTGGTTTGGTGGGGCAAGGTCTACGCACTATGGGTGCTCAAAGCCTTGCTCCCGGGCAAACATATCATCCTATAGGACCACGATGCTGCCCCGACTGGGCAGGCAGGCCCCCGCCACCATGTCGTTGCACCCGAGGGCTGGATGCCGGCCACGCCTGCCTGTGGGCCTTGGAATTCTGGCTCTGGGTGCAGTTGCTACGGAACCAACGGGATCAGGCGTAGCAACTGACGACATACGTCGTTGAGTCTTTTTCTCTTGTCCCTCATGCCTTCGGCACCTCGATGGAGCACCGTCACCTGGTGTTACGTTCGAGCGGAAGGGTGTTTGCTCCTTAGCTTCGCCGCCTGCCGGCCTTCACCGCTTGCCCCTTCACCTGTCAATCGGTTTACTACCACCACCGAGTGGTGTCTTCCATCGCCATAGCCGCCACAACCGTGCGGCGATGCCGTGGAAGCGGTGACCTGCATGTCAATGTCCACCATGGCGATCTCTGCCTCCTTAGCAGCTGACCCTGTGTCCCAACTCACCGCTGGTGACATTGGTTCGCTTCTGCTGGAGGCGGTGTCCGTGTGCACCAGAGCGGACTGGTCGCACAACTTGTCACGTGTTGGACCCCGGCAGGTTGCCTGTGTGGGTGTTGCCCACATTTGTTGCCAGTATTGCATCCGAGACCGTTTTCGTGCTTGGCACGCCTTGTGACGTGATGGCGGTTGCCTAGGCGGGTCACTTGCCTGCGACACTGGTCTTCGCACTCCTCTTCCGGAAGCCGCTCACGCTGCAGTGGGCCGTGGACTTTTGGATTTTGGTGTGCACGATCGCGACGGAACAAAACACAGGGGTTGTCCGTTGTCTGCCGAGACTAGAACGGCAACCGGAGCCTGGACTTGGCTCCACCTGTTGTTTTGGGCAACTCTGAGCGACGGCTCTTTGTTGCTCCTGACCGGTCGCTGAGGCTCCGTAGTTTGGTGCTGAACGGCTACCACCGGCAAAGCCTGTGCGCCGCAGCCCTTTGTAGAGCTTCGCTTTTCTGTCTCACCGCTTTGCCAGTTTGTAGTTTGTAGTTTGTAGTTTGTGTTTGCTTCGCTTGTTTGTAGGGACCGAGTGCTACAGCCGTAGTCGACGAGGCCCAGTCAAGCCAAAAAAACTTCGCTGAACGCTTTGTGTGTCTCTGAATTCTGCTTTTGTTTTGTTCGCTTTTAACCGCAAGCGATGTCGAAGAAAGTCTCCTTCAGGTCTTTCTGGTCTTTTTTCAGCCTTTCTTCAAACCAATCCCAGGCCTGCCTTGAAGCCCTCTTGGGTTACCTGGATTTGAACCTGGTTTAACCTGGTTTTAAGCGGATCAAACCTGGGTGCTTGAAACTTGGGTTCCACACCTGGATTAGAAGATGCGTTTCAAACTTGGGTTTAAATCTGGTCAAAAACCTGTCTTTAAACCTGGGTTTGTAAACCCGGGTTCCAAATCTGGTTAGAACCTGGGTTTCAAACCCGATTAAACCTGGATTTGAACCTGGGTTCCAAACCTAGGTTAGAACCTGGGTTTCAAACCTGGATTCTAACCTAGATTTTAACCTGGGAAAAAAAACCCAGGTTAAAACCCAGGTTCAACCCAAGTTAAAGCTAGGTTTCAAACCTGGGTTCCTGGGGTTGTTGTTGTTGTTCCTCCCCTTCCGCTCCGGGGGGAGAGAACCCAAGTTCAAACCCAGGTTCAAAGCTGGATTAAGCCCAGGGGGAGGGGGGACCAGCCTCGACTCCTTCTTGGGCCCCAGATTGGTGCCCCATACCACAAGCCGCTATTCAACACAAGCCAGCAGCTCCTTCGTCGCCAACATCTGGTGAGTGGACTTTCCTGTGTGCTCTTAATGATGAACAGAAGGCAAATCCGGAGCATTTCCGACAGGTCCTATGGAACGTTGCCGTCCAATACTGGGATCGGTTTGCGCCACATTGTCCGTCTGACCCAACGGATGTCCTGCGCGGTAGAAGTGGTCAGGGGCTTTGAACGTTCCAACCTTAAATAGTTGGGCTACTTGGCGATGCGCCGCCATTTGTTGTGCCCATTTACCCTGGCCATTTGGCTTTGCGGCGGATGTCACGGGATTGTAGCATTTGCTTCCTGCCAGGCCACAGGTCCTCCAGGATCTCTCAGTTGATTTTCTGCGTCTCCCCCCAATCGAACGCCGCCGGACACCTTCTGTCCATGACAGACCCGCATGAAGAATGGGCAGCTGAGGTGGCTCTGCAGCAGCAGCTAGCTGGATATCAAGCTCCGTGTCTCTGCCTCTCTGGCGCAGTGCACTTTCAGGCGAGTCTGGGTCAAGACGAGCTTTCGGATGATCGTTCGACTCGGATCCAAGTGCGAGTTACAATCTTTCAAATCGACTTTGTGGCTCTCCTTGCGTGGGCTTCCACGTCGCGGCATGTCTGTCAAAGTATACTTGCACTCTACAAGGGCACTGATTTTTTCTCGCACTAAGGCCATAAGACGGGCCGTCGCGGCTATGCAGCTCTGGGCGGTTCGCTGGCCCGTAGGATGACGACATGCTGTCGTTGGAATTGCGCTGTGACGCGTCTGATGTCAGTCGGCTGGAGGTGATGTTGGTTGCATCCACTCTTGGCCACATCACGCTATTGTGCTCGATGGCTATTGGACTTTGGACTTGGACTTTCGTGTGCCCGATCGTTTGGTAACAAGGTTATGGGGACTGTTCGTTGTCGGACGCGACGAGAACGGCAGTCGGAGTTCTTGGGATTGGAGCTCTACTTGTTGCCTTGGACTGCTTGGAGTGACGACCCCTTGTGGTTTCCATCCGGTCTGTAGTTCGACTGAACGGCTTGCGCCGGCAAAGTCTGCGTGCCGCAGTCACTGGTTTTCCCTCCATGCAGCCGTAGCCGACGAGGCCCGCTCACGCAAAAGAAAATCTCTTGAAGATCATGTGATTTCAAAGTTCAAAAGTGTTCCAGCGAGTGGTCGTTGATTGTCGAGCCTGACATCAAATGTCTCAAGAACTTTGAAAATCACTGGGTTAGATGGTGTCAAGAAGCCGCGGCATCGCTCGGCACATCTTGCTTCTTACTTTTCGGCTTCTCAATTCGGAATTCGTTTCTTGACACATGCTCACAAGCCAACCAATGCGGCACTTCCTGCGTCAATAAGTTTCAAGTTGGACAGGAATTGATCTGCAAGCCACGGCGGTAACAGACGGAAATTCAAGTTTTCAATGGGTCGATAGCTAGCATACCGGCATGCAGAATTTGGGTTCGACGCTTACAGATAGAGAGCGTACTTGGAAAGCGAGATGGGTGATAGAAGTACGAAGACACTCGTCGCAGGTCAAAACCGGAGATCTGAAACAGCAAGAATCCACCAGGCTTCCGCACTGCTGAGTGGTGTCAGAGCTGTAATACTTGCTTTTGCTTTGTAAAAGTGGGTTTTAGAACGCTTTGAAACTCTTAAGAAGTTTGGAAAGGCTGGACGGTTTGTCTGCTGTGGTTCAAGACTGGACACGTGAGCTGTGAACGTGTCGAACGTTACGTCGTGGTCGCGGAGCGTGGTGGGTCTGTGTGTGACCACACGCCATCCGTTTGTGAGAAAAGTGCTCAATACGCACCTGAAGGGGTTGTCGTTTGCCCGCGTTTGTGGTGGAGGGTCGAGGGAGGCCGTCGTTTTACGACCGAAACGGTCAAGCCGAGGCACTGAGATGCGTTACCCGGAACGACGAGAGCGACTGAGCAGCGTACCGCCAGTGGGAGCAGGTTTTTTGTTGATGGTTTCTTGTTTCACTTCTTTGCAATGTGTTTCTGTTTTTCACAGATAAACGAGGAGAAGGAGCCGTCCGTCGAACCAACGTACCCCACACGTGGAGTTCTTGTCCCGTCAACAACGGACAGGCCCCTTTACACTTCGAGGGAAGCTTTGTCCCAAGAGCCGAAAGACAGGAAAACAGAGCTCGAAGAACACGTTGGATCAATTTTCCTGCTTTCAATCCAAGCGAACTTGTTTTTGTTTTGTTTGTCCATAAAACGTTGAATTGAATTTTTTGGATTCATGTTATTTCGTTTCTCTGGTTTTTCCTTTCAGTTTTCAAATGACTTGAAAATTCGTTGGCAGTCTCCTTCTGAAACTTAAATTCGAGAAGGGGCTTGATCAGGGACTTGAGAAGAACGAAACTTTCCAAGGTTTTAAGGAGAGCTTCAGAAGGGGCGTCAAAAAGGCTTGAAAGGGCTTACTTGAGAATTTACTGTGTGCCTTTTCTCAGGTCTGGTCAATCAAAACACAGAAGACGAGATCCTGCGACTTATCAAGGAGGAACGGGAAATCAACCAGGTCGAATGCTGGCTGCTCTTGTCGAGAACTTGTGAAATTTGGTGTTGGGTAGATGCGCTTGCGAGCGCGAATGCGCCAAGAGCCCAGGCAGTGGTTCGGCAGTTGATAAAGGTGGACCGTTCGTCTTGGTCACTACACAAACGTTCTGCTTGATTGTTAGACCATGTTGCCGTCGCACACAAGTGTGTGGAGTCGTGGGAGTCGCTCAGGCGAGGAGGAGCGCAATTCTTCCAATCCAATTTGTCTTGGATGGCCGTGCAAGCCAATGTTGGTGTTGACCATCCGCTTCGGGCTTCGTTTTTTCCAAGAAGTTCAAGCCTTTTTTCGAACATGCAGATTGATGGCTTGTAGAGGCGCGTTCCCATTCCGCTGGGCTGATTGGACTTGAAGGCCGTCTGCGCCGACTGGACGAGGGGCCCACTTCTTAAGAGCTTCTATTGCTCTATTGCTCTCGCTTCTTGCTGCATCTTCGGTCCGTCCGTTCCAAGAGAAATGTGCTTGGGCACTATGATGAGGGATTTTTTGGACACTTCGGACCATTTGGTCACTATTTGGGCTCTAGGCTGACGAAGCTTGGGTGGCACAAGTTGCAGGGCAAGCCCATTTGTTTTCTTTAACAATAACTCAAAACTTTACATTCTTGTTGTTGCTGTTGATGTAAGGCAATTGTTGTTACGGTATTGGCTTCTTTCTTTCATTCTGTTCAATTCGACTTCGATTTTTTGGAATCCAGGCAGACCAGAGAATCGTCTTGGACAATCATCCGCCTGATTAGCATCTTGAACGTCGTTTTAGGACGAGTAGGTAACAACATTCCAAACAGATGTGCCAACGTCGTGGACAATACCATACCTGTCTTCCCAAAGCAAGGGATGCTTTGTCAATGTGTTTGCAGCGCCTATGGTTTGAGAAAGAGCAGGGAGCTATTCATGTGCACAGATTCATTTAGGAAAAGAGCAAGTCCGATAGTTTTTGGAAGTCTGTAGCCTGCGGACGTCGTATTGAAGAACTAGGGACACTGCTGCCTTGATTTACAGAACCTCAGATTTTCTGGGCCGTCATGTCAAAGTGCTGGAGGCTCGTTGCTGGGGCTGGAAGTGTCGAAATGACTAGAATAGAACCCGCCCAACATGCATTCGGTTTCTGTTGGGTTGGGATTTGGGTGTTGTGTACCGACCCCGATAATGACGACGATGATGTTTGCACGCGATGTGTCGGTGCAGCCGCTAATGTTGATGTCGGCGTGGGTGGTCATGGCGAAGATGAGCTTGTAAAAGTCTATTCCGAGGAGCGGCCTGTGTTTATTTACCTGCACAATGCTGATTTTCTGAGATATACTCGTGATGATGATGAGGATGATGATGATGATACGAACTTGGATTGTGATGCTTGTGATGATGATGTGGTGATGATGATGATGATGCCAGCAACATTTGTGGTTTGTCATGTTGAGATCGGCGACATGTAAGATTACAACATTGATGGATATTGATCGCAACGACCTTGGCGGTGTTTCGAATTGGTGATTTTCATGACCAGCAACACCGCCGACATTTTGGTGAGAACGAGGAGGCTCTACAGTAGGGTCAGGAAATATCATGTGCATGAGCGCCATGGTCAGGATGAGGGGACCATGAGCATGAAATTGTGCAGAACAATACAGAATCATGATTGGAACTTCCACGACTATGATCACGATCAAGATGATGATGGTGGTGAGTGCATTGATGGTGGCTTTGATTAGGATGATGCCCAGGTTGCTGCTGCTTGTGCCGTTGCTGTTGTTGACCATGACAATGATGATGTGTTGGATTTTCGTTTCACCATAAGCATGCTCGTGATGACGACGAAGATGACGTTGAATTTGCTGACTGAAAAGCCAATCCAGGGCCGGAATCATGGCAATTTCACATTCTATTCCGGCGTGTGTGCTCGGAATTGTGGCCAGTGGTAACCGGGTAGACGAACCACAGACAGTACTGACTTGGACACACAGAGTGGTAGAACAAGTACAGCATCCCACTTGCTCAGTTGTCGAGGCCATGATGCGTCCTTCATTGCAGTGGCGATTTGGGCATCATGCTGCTCCGGCTTGTGGGAACTGGAAAGTTGCATTTGTGGCAAGCTATGTATGTTCATGTATGCAAAATGCAGATGCGCATTGCTGTTGAACTGTTGCGCCAGTGAAACATGGTGTTTCTTTTGCGGTGTGGGCTTCTTCGGCAATCAAGTTTGGTTCCGGTTCGGTCGGAGATTTGGCGCGGACGGTCACTGAGCCGGTACGGGTGATAGAAGGCAAACATGGTGACGCATGCGGGTTGGTTTTGGGAACATAGATGATGTGCGTCCAAACAAAGGAGCATGTCAAATTCTGTGCTTTGAATCAAAAAATACTTGCATAGCTTTTGAGCTAGCGTTCGAATTTCGCTGGCTCGACTCGAAACTGGCCTTTGCGCTGCATGCAGACGTCAATGCCTTAGCTGGAAGGAATGCTTAAACTCTGTGCCTAACCCTGAGCCGAACAAACGAACTGCAAGGAATGCCAGTGTGGGCAAGCTTTTGGCCCTAATTCAAGGAAGGAAAAGAGTGAACAACAAGCCGTGTTCACGGCTGTGAGAGGAATGTAAGCAGAGGTGCAGGTGCAAGAGCAAGGTAATCATTATCAGTGGTACAAGCACTACTCGGAGCAATCGCAATAATCACTGCAAGAGCAACTCAGACAAGGCAGCCCTGAGACGATTGCAAAGGAAGCCGCTATGCTTAGCAAACTGAGCATCTTCAGCAAGATCAGCAGCCAGAGCAGCAGAAATCATTAGTTTGAAAATAGGCAGGACAACGAAAGATCAGCAACATGCAAAACGAATGCCTGAAGCAACAGCAGCAATCAGCAGCAAAACCAAGTAGACGGACGGTATGGGCACGGTGAATGATCAAGCATGAAGAACAAGAAACCATTACCGACAAAAGCAGCGCCGCAAACCGGAGAACAACAGTATCAGCAACAGCAACAAGACAAGCAACACCACAATGACCGGAATACGATCTTGCACGACTGCACTGATTACACTTGTTGCGTGGATGCCACAATACAGCATCAAGCACGGCTGTAGTTCTGAGCGGAAAGTCGATAGTTCAAACGCTATAGAAGTTGGAAAGCAACCGCGGGGAATAAAAGTGCTCGGCATCGATCATGTTGGAAATCTGGCATAGGTCTTTATAACCATGACATGGTTAGCAGAAAGACTAGACAAACACAGCAGTGACATTACACGGATAACGTAATCGTGGAAGTTTGGCGTGAAGTCGGTGAGGGATGTTGGCCAAAGATGCACACCACACCACTGCACGAACCAAGTCGTTTCTACAGTTGAGCATTGGGACCCCTAGATGCGTCGCATAGGGGGGCAAGCGACAGTACCATGTTGCCGAGTGCGAAGCACAGACGTTTTGGCATCGTTTTGGCCGCGCAGGTCGCATGTGCACGAGTGCTGTACGGCTACGAGCACCCGTGCTCAGAGACGGTGCGGAGTTTCGCCGCATCTGCATCGCGCAGCCGCGACACCGTCTGTGCGATGCTGTGCGAGGGGATGACGGAACGCGGCGGCTGCAACGCTGAAGCCCTCACCCGCTTCAACATCCATCACCACGCGCCATGCGGTCGGGGGTTGATTTCGTGCCGATTCGCGGCTGGCGCATTGTTCGACGACATGAATCCATAGGTGTCGTTGACGCTGCGTTGCTGATGCGTTCGTGCACGATATGGGCACTTCGTCCGACTCATGGACGCAATGAGCGCCAACAATCTTGGGCCCTGTGCATCCTTGATGCTTGGACGTTTGACGCTCGAAATGCACGACTGTTCTCACATACTTGCGGTACTTGCATGATGGCGGTACGCACGATTTGTGCGTCATGGAAAACAGACGTTGCTGACCATGACACATGGTCGTGAACGGATTTATTTCTATGAACATCGCACAGTCCCACACAACGTTGTGGTTGAGGATGCTGCAACAAATGATGCGGCACCGTAGGCGAATGGAAAGGATCCAGGCTTTGTCGTCATGTCAGAATCGGGCGGCGGATTACCCGGATTGTACTGGTTGTTGCACACGTGCTGCCCGGCCTGTTAGCTCCCTGCATGATCCTGCATGCAAAAGGGATTGAGAACACCTGCTCTGCCATTCGTGCTTGCGTCGCAACCAAGTGCAGGTGCTCGTGACCCTGCCAAACGGTGCAGGTTGCCCATCGATTCAGGGCTGAAACCGGCCACCCACTTCAATGCGACGCCCGACAAGTTTGACACGGTGCGCAAGCTGGTGCGCTGCAACCAGTCCTTTTGTCGTGTAGGACGGTCCGATCGGCATCCGGCTGCACGCTTCAACCTGGTGTCTATATGGCCTGTAGCCACAGCATGCCACAGCGACAAGCCGTTCGCCACTACTTCAATGCGACGGCCGTACTTGACACGGTTGCAGCAGAGCGTGAGGGAAAAATACAAACACTGCTTGTGCTATTATAACCCAACAACAATCGCACTTACTGCTGCTTAGGTATTGCCTTTCCCGTTACCATGTGCCATTATTGATCGGTTGTTGCTGTTACTTCAAGACTGCACGCCCAGTTCCGAAGGGGTTGCGTGGATGACCTTCGTCTCAGCATGTTTTAGCTAGCGGCGACGTTTGCACTTCTGACAAAGCACGGGCGAAACTCGTGAATCTTTTTTTTCCACCCTTGTTTGCGTCCGCGATGAGACCAAGTCGGAGTCTTCATTTTCGTACCGGCACAAGGAGGCGCACCGCTGTACGAGCAGCGCGCACCGGCCGTGTGGGCAGCCATCTAATGCCAACGTGGTGGGAAACGAAGGATGCCCGTTGAGTTGCGACCGCGAGGACTCCAGACCGCATTCGCGGCCCATCGCACACCAGAAAGACGACCTCAACCCCGTGCTGCTAACTGTGGAAGCCATGATGGCGGTCGCAGAGTTGCCGTGGCGAACCCCGCTGCTCGTGCGTCCGCGCGATGCTGGAACGAAAATGCAGGCTTGCAGGATTTGCAGGAACGTGCAGGTGAAGAGCAATTGATCAAAGCCTTTGCGCAAGCAGAAACCGTTCACATGTGGCTGACGCTGATGTGCAACATGAATGATGATGGATTATGTTGGATTGGGGGGCCTCTGGATGGATGGGTTTTGAGCTCGGAGGCCCGCCAACTCTTATGTCGATGCCGTACGACCATCTCCCTTATCATGACAGTAGCGTGGCGGGCACTCCATCCCCAACCTGGACTCTGAGATCAACAGGTCACGACATGCCTATCCGGGCAAGACTCCGCACGTAGTGCAAGTAAACATTTGCAGCCGCAGCGGCAGCACTAGCATTCATCATCGGCGACCGCATCAGCAGCGGGCCTTCGAGTGGATGTGCCAGTCGTGTTTGAGAGCCTATGGCCCGTAATCATATAATGCGTCGCAGCGGCTGGAGCTGCGACAGTTCGCGGACCGTGACGACGTTCATCACGGCATCCTAGAAATGGCCGGGGAAATGTCTTGGAGAACAGACGATTGCAAAGCTGCCGGCGCCCAGTGCAGCCAGAGCCAAAAGTACGCGCGGAATCCACGGACCACGATAGGATTGGATGCTTCGGGACGTCTTGTTTGACCTTTATAGGCTAATGGCAGCGGTGCTGCTGAAGACGTGGCAGATGAAGATCCAAGGCTTTTTGCCGAACGACGGGTTGGAAGACGTTGAAGGTAGGCGGAGAAGTCCATAAACAATTCGCGGTTCAGCCAGCGCCGCGATGCCGTTGCTCCTCCGACGCTGCAACCGCCCACAGTCGCAGGGTCAGCTTTCAGCCAAGTCGAGGAGGGAGTGAGTGCATGTGCCGCTGTGGCTGCTGTTGTGTTTGTGGAACTTTCAGCCCACACCACCTGCAGCCATTTTCTTTCAAACCTCCAGCCACTCAGCGGGAGCTTTTGCCATGGCTGCCGCAAGCCGGTGCGACGTGTGCGGCCCGGGTGTCTGGAGCCCCGCCGCACGCCGTTGCACACCGCAATTGACCAGCTGCCACCTGGCGTGCGGTGGGGGTGGCTTTGTCAGCAATTTCGCGACCGTGCTTGCAGCCGGAGCCGGAGCCGCTCACCTGACGCGGAGTTTTGTTGGAAGCACCGGGGCCGAATCCTGCGGAGTGCTTCGCGCAATGGAGCGCAGCCCCTACCAAAGGTGCCGACCGAGGTGGTGACGTGAAACACCACTTGTATTCCCAAGGAAACAAAAACATTGGATTATGTGGCCGAGGACTGGGTCTGGCGCACAAGCTTGGATGTTGAGTGTCCATTTGGTTTATGTGTTGCATGGTCCGGTGCTTTGCTGAACTGGCTGAGCTCTGAGTCCGGAAGCCGGTGGATGGAACGGCGCACGATTGTAAAATTAAGCATGTGGAAGAATACCTTGATTCGTGAACACCTACACAGTGATTGGAAGCGCCAGTAACATATCAGTCCAGCAATGAAATCAGGGAAAAGGACAACCTTCATGCATTTGGAGGGAATCCGCGACATGCCGTCAGGAAGTCACCTCAGCTGAGAGCAGTGGGATCTTGAATTCGGCAGGCCCTAGACTCCATGTCGTGGGATTCTCAATTTGATCGTCTAGAAGCGGACGTACTTCGAGCCTCTTACCAAAGACCTCTGAAGATTTAGCGGCCATTGAAGCCAGCAGATTCCGGATGCGGACGGCATTGTGAATTACACGGTGTACAGGCTCAGGAACACCTCGATAAAGTCAAGCCAGCGGGACGCTCCGACGTGTTTGATTCGTGGGAAGCGGTGTGTCAAGCCTTGGGATCAAATGCTAAGGTCACCCGGCTTGCGTGTATTGTTAATATGAAAAGAAGATGGTGAAACAAACTGCCATGTTGTCGTATGTTGTCGTTGATTCCGGAACGTCTGGAGTGAATTGTTGGATGACAGTTCGTGAGCGAGTGATATTTCCTGGCGAACTGGCATTGCTCGCCCGATGAGATCGAGATTTTCACAGATGATTTTCGGGATGCATTTCTTGCACTGCCCCTTCGACAAGACGAGCGGCGATACGCCGTCAGCAACGATTTACACAGACGTTCTTATGTCAGTAAGGTCGTACTCTTTGGGTTGGCATCAGGCCCTTGCTTTGCGCTAGACAAGCTGTGGCACACGATGGCGGGTAATTTGCTGTATGTTATATTGATGATCTGTTACTGTTCATCATTGGTCAGACTGCCCGCTTGTGTTTTCTCGGACTCTTTGGGTCTGTAGCATAGAGGACTGCACTGGGATTCGATACTGCGTAGAACAAAGCATGTCGAGGTTGGAAGGTGGTTCGGATTGGATTCGAGATCTCGCTTCATGAACCAACGCCCGGTGACATGTTGGCGCAGCTTACCCAAACCAAGCGGGATAAGCTCTTTTCGGTGCTTGATCAGATGGCACAACATAAACGATTTTTTCTACCAAACTTTCCTCAATATGCAGCAGGAGTGCTGGGCTGGGTGTCAAGCGTTATGCCGTTGGCCAAACCATATTTGACATTTGGCTATGATTTGGGCAGCTATTCGTCAACATCGCGCGCCTATGCGTGACACTACTCGCATCCGCAAGGGCTTTGTCTATTCCAACATCCATGGGCTGAAGCCCGTTTCTGCAAACGGATGCAGTTCCGCAGCTGTGTTGGCACCTGAGTGCCCGGTCTTAACCGAATGAGTTTATTAAAAAAGAGGCTAAGCGAGCCAGGAACATGCTGCCCCCACAGAGGCATAAGCTGCTTCACCTCCAACGACAATGCAATCTCAGCCGCCCATGCGACCAAGAGCGGGGAAGTTGCACGATGCTCCAACGTGGCTTGCAACATGGATGTGTTATCAGTGCATCGGCGAAAACACCCCCAGAGAGAATCACACTCAAAGGAGTTCCCATTCATTTTGATGAGTTGGTCACCCGTGAGCGCGTTGAAGGTTTCCGAATCCGATTGCATGCCATCCTTTGCCCACCATGCAACGAAGCGGTCTCCGATCTTAACAAAACCACCCATGCCAGTGGGACAGTTTTAAAAGGCACTGGGACCGTGGTCACTCTGTTTTAAGAGAGGCCTGGCAGCAGCACGCAGAGGGCTTCTGCGCCACCTGCCGCGAGCTCAGGGTAGGTGGCTTGTTTGCGCCGATAGGCGGTGCGCAGAACCGCTCCATGTGCGGCCGCGTTTGGGTGGGGTTCGCCGTCGCGCGTGAGAGGCGAAACGAGGGTCGCATCGCAGCAAAGCGCACCACCCAGTGGCGCGGAACCGTAGATCACGAGGTCGAGGCGCCTGCGGTCGTCGGGCGCGACGCCTGGCGCAGTAGTGTTGACGAGCCATCGGCTTGATTCAACAAAAATCATCAATCCACGTGCTGGAATCCCATAGGTACGAGCATGGCATGCCCACGTGGCTTGTGCAAGTGGCTTGCACATAGTGGAATCCCTGCGTGAGCTTGCTAACACAAGCAAAATGGTTCCGAGGAGCTGAACAAGTGGAAAGTGCGCTGAGGTGGTTTCATGACGCAGTGAAGCTGGTCCAAAGCCTCGGTCCGGTCACACGGCGCCATGCCGGGACCGGCACACACCGATGCGCCGGCCCTGGATGAAGTCTTGCACCTGGCCGACCCAGACGGGCCGAGCCGCCAGCCGCTGCGCTGAACCGGCCCTAACTCGGGACCGCGACCGTGCTCCA